CATTTCTTTCATGTGTTAACTAAAACACTATCCTAAATCCTCAAGCAAGCATAACATACTGTGTCCAGCAAGCAAAAAAATAAATTTGTTTTCATGAAGATAATCAACATCTAGAAAGAAAGCACCCAGCAGAACTACCATGAGATAACAAAAAGCATTAGAGGGACCAGTTAAATCGCATAGCTTACATGACAGTAATAGTCATTTGTAATAAACTTACAACTGTGGTTATGTTGCTGAATATTGGCAACCCATGCATTAGACAACTCCATATTGATCGCCAACCCCATTCAAACTACAAAATTTTGTTCAACCATCAAAGATATAAAAGTTCCATTAAAAGATGGTGAATAGAGCATATAAATCGTCCAGTGATAACAAAGAAAGCAAGCAAAGGAAACTTCACTGGATAATAGAAATGGCATATGGTAATCTATCCTCTAAGTAGCAAATTGAAAATCACAAAAATAACAGTGTGAAGCTATCTTCAGAATTGGTAAGAGCTACATGTGCAGAGAAATACAGTAGCCAGACTGACCAAGGATACCCACACTCCTCCCTAGAGGTGAAGTGGGCCAAATCAGCCTACATGCTCTGCCAAGGATTCATCTAGTTAACATTAGCAATGAAGAAAAGTAACAATACAGTAAAGGCTCAAAATTCAACCAATCAAGAGCAGAATACTTCCACGTCAAAGTACCACATGCCAGAAAATCCTGCACAAGACAGAAGATAGGAAAAGGGGATGACAAATACCACACTTGACATGAGCGAAGTTCTCAATGAGATTCCCGATGAAGATGCAAAGAAGAGCTCCTGTAGACTCCTTCAAATCCAAGTAAATAAGAGACATCAACTCAATGAAAAAGAGAAAAAGAATCCAAGTTAGAAGTAGTAAACAGGAGCAATAATCACATGTTTCATGCTCAAATAAATTTGCAACATGAATTTGAATTCTTTTCTTGTGCAGAAAAAGGAATCATATCCTATAGTCGAATTAGTAATATCCCAAGTTTAAAGACTGAATACAACAGAGTCCAACAAAATAAGAAAACAAAGAAAAATATGTATTGGCTCCAAATAACACAGACATGACAGAAACAAATCCTGTAATCAGGAAAACAAAAGCAAATTACCTTATGGTCCATAGTAAACCATCATAAGCATGCCCCATATTTGCATCATTTAGAATTCTGCAATATTTGAAACTATCAATTGAACAATTAAGAAATAGGTAAGAAGCACCACTGTTTTTATTTTCATAACTGTGAAATGTTAAGTTTGTTACACGCAGGAAGTAGTGCCATCACTACACACAAAAGTGTAAGGTTACTGCATTAAGTTTGATGCTTTACAGAGCAGGAAAAAAAGATCCTATTAATTTTTTTACCCTTGCTAATCTTTTGCCTCAATTGTTTTTCAGAAAAAAAAAAAGAAAAA